AATAAATGACCCATGATCTAGTGCCAAGAATCTGGATGTTCCCCAAATGGTGGTCTGGCTGGCTTCCAGGCAGCAGAGTAGGTAGCTGGGCATCATATAGGCCACAGAATGCAGCAGCGGAGGATTCCAGCACCCAAACAGCATCACATCCTTCCATGTGCCCTTACTCTACTGCACTAGATTTGTGTCTTCTCTCTGATCTGGATTCTGAAATTTGGACCCACAAATGCCCTGGAGAGTTTCTGCCTACCTTCCTGCCTGCCTGGGAAATCCTTTGGAAGAGGAGCATATGTCCATATAGGCAGAGGGTAGGATGGCTTACAGGCCCGAAAAAGTTTATGGAAGTCGTCTTGGTCACAGAGAGATCCCATCCTCCAAAGTACCCTGACTCACTCTGATTTTACGTTGCCACTAAGATAGAAGTACCAGAGAGGTAAATCAGTGTCTGAGCAAGTCATGCACACGTTTATAAAACAATGCCAGGCTGAACAGGGAGGCACGTGTCTGTAATCCTAGCATTTGGGAGACAAGACTACCACAGGAGGGTGGTGACGCTTCGGCCACTCTGACCTACATAGTGAGTTCAAGGCCGAGTGGGCACTAGAAGGAAGTAAAACACCACCACCAACAATAACAGACTAAATCAGTATTCAGTTGTTTGTAGGAACTCTGGGTACTGACAACCTGAGGATGAGGTAGGAGGGAATGGACAGCGAGGAATACAGAGGACAGAGTCCAAGGACGGAGGACAGCCTTGCAGTGCTGAGAAGGCCCCTTGCACGTTTCCTGGCCACAAGCGCATTTGGTCTACATTGATAAAGGCCCTCGACTTAAAGCAGACTCTAGTCTCCAGAGCTCCCACAACCCAGCTGTGTGGCCTTGGGCAGGTTACTTAACTAACCTCTCTGTACCTAGGTATCTTTTTCGAAGAAGTAAGAGTGCTGCCCCATCCCCACCATGGGTGTGTGATTATTACAAACATCTTCTATGAGGTCTGGTCCTCCGGAAGTATTGCCTATGGGCCTGATGCTTTACCCTTCGGGGAGCCACAACCGTGGAGCTCCGTCTGTAAGCGGACACTCGCACCAAGTCAGTCCATACACCCAGACAGAGCCCAGCCAGGGTCAGCCCATCCCACACCAGATGAGGTGACCCCTAGGGAACCCATGAAACAAGAACTCCAGCCATAAACGATTCTAGTTTTAAGATTTGGAGCAAAGTTTATTACCCCAGCAAATGGCTAACACAACACACCCCAGGCTCCTGGCATTTTTAACAAAAGTTGTTCTGAGTTATATCTGTCACTTACCTGCCTTTGGAAGCTAAATGGAGGGAACCCCGTTCTTTAGTGTTCCCTGGACCATCTGTGATTACCCTGTTCCTGTACAGCAGTCAATGTCACCCTCAGGGGCCATATGCCTCATCCCCCTCAACCAATCTTTGTGGTCTCAAAATCATGCCCCAGTTCTTTACTGTTTTTCCCCCCGCCCTGTTTTTTAGCCCCTGTAGCCTCCAACTCGAGCTTCTCCTGCTTTGCCAGAGTGCTGGGATCACAGCTGTGCGCCATCACACTCAACACCTACCACTAAGCCTGATGAACTGAGTTCCATCCCTGACCTCACACGGTGGGAGGAGAGAACCACCAACTCCTATAACCTGTCCTCTGACCACGTGCACCCTGACCATGACACAGCGACGAGTAAAAATGTAACCAAAATATCTGCCTGTGGTTGTCATTGCATCCACCGTGAACAGCGTGTGTGCCTGCGAGAATGATGTTCAAAGACTGGGGTGAGAGCCGAGACAGCCCGAGGGAGCCGTGTGTCAAACACCCGAACTGGAGTGGTAGGACTGTGTCATAGCTTTGGCCTCTGGTGCGTTCCGCTCCCTGCCTGGTTCTCCTCTCCCCCCAGCAGTGGAGGCTGTCAGGTAATGCACACCTGATTCAGAGAGTTGGGGCTATTTGGCAGTTCAGTAGCGGGGTCCTTCCTGAAGAGAGGGTACTACCCCTTACACACACACACACACACACACACACACACACACACACACAGGAGGGCAGGCGCTTCCTGCAGGCCTGTGAGAGATGTTCTGCCAGCACAGTCCTGGAGGGTGCCGATGAAGCCAGCACTTCAGCACAGCCCCCTAAAACACAGGCTGCACCCTGCCCGCCTCTGTGAAACGCTGAAGGACCTTACACACCGTCAGGCACACAGCAGACTCTCCTAAGGTCCAGTGAGCCAAAAGAAAGTGTTTTCCTGGGGGCTGTTTCGGCTTCTATACTGCTTACCTTCTTCGGGACACAGAGAATGTCAGATCAAGTCAGACTGCTCTAAGTCTTCTGAAAGGACCCCAGTCACCCCGGGTCAGGGAACTGTTTGATTACAAGTCCTGAATTAACTTCAGGGCGGTGCTTTGGGAAGCTACGGCGGGCATGTAAATGAGGGGATTGAAGGGAAGGGATCGCCGCAGGAGACAGCAGATAATTGTGCTGAACTAGTAACAATTTCTCTGGTTGACGCCGTTGTTTGGCCGAATGTCTGCTGCCTACATTCTCAATCACAAGATCCAGGGTTAGCAACGCATCTCGAGAGCCTGCGGGGCTAAGGGTGTAGCTCTGTGGTAGGGGGCTCACATGGCTTGTGCCAGGCCCTGGGTTCAATCCCAGCACCGTGGAAATGAAAAGGGAGGAAAGAGAATGGGAAAAGAAAGAAAATGGAAAAGGAAAGGAGGAATGGGGGAAAGAGAGAGGGCGGGGAAGATGAGCCTACACATGATGGGCAGGTTAGTCTGTGCCCCCCTCGGCCCCTGTGCCGCTCAGGTTGATCCCGTGGTCTGCATTAAGGAGCTTCACACTCTTAGACCTCTGCTTTGGGTTGGTTTTGGCCAGTAGGAGGCTCTGCCAATAGGTGGTTGGGGTGGGAGGAGAGAGAGGTAGGAGGCCTCCCTACTGTGACTTCACTTACACTTGCCAGCCCCTCCTGCAGGAGACCACAGCTCCTGGGATCTAGTTCCCCTACTTCCTCCTCCTGCCCTCTCAAGGCCAGGATGGGAAAGTCTTCCTTCAGTCACAAATCCCTGTCTCTTGACACTGCAGGTGTAGACCCCACTCCCCTGAAAGTGAGCCCTTCCTTCCTTCCTTCCTTCCTTCCTTCCTTCCTTCCTTCCTTCCTTCCTTCCTTCCTTTCTTCCTTCCTTCCTTCCTGTCTTTACACTGGAATTGTCTAAGCTGCTTCCTGTCAAAACCCTTCTCTAAGACATGTGTACACTGTGTGGGTCCTCTCTAAGTAAGCAGCTCAGAGAAATTACAGATTCTTTTCTGTCTAGCCTTATGAAGACCTTAGCGAACTTAATTTTACATAAATTAGATAATTTTAAAATGTGAATGGTCCCTGCACCTTCTTTCACTCAACAGGTACTTACTGAGCATCTACAGATCCAGCGCTATCTGACCCTGGAAATATCTATAGTTAACGGAAGCACAAAATGACACCCCATTGTGCTTGGAGTCTAGACCCAACTGTCTCCCGGAAGTCAGACAGCTCATCAGAGGCCAGGCTGAAACAAGAGAAGCAACTTTCCCTAATTCCCAAGTCCTTAGCAGATTCTCAAAGAAATCTATAACCCAAATATAACACAGAAACAAACACTAGGTCAGACCAAAATTAGCTACCAAGTCCTCTTGGGATTTTTGAAGAATGGTCTCACTATGTAACCCAGGCCGGTCTTGAACACAGCACCCTTCTGCCTCAGCTTCCCAAGAGCAATCACAGGCAGGGTGTCTGCACACTCTGCTATCAAACTTCTCAGTGGATCAGAAGATAATGATCTGCAGACTAGATGAGCTTGCAAGAGATGCGCTGCCATGCGCTCCTGATGGGACAACCACCTGCTTTGTCTGCCTCCCAGCCCCCGCCCCCACCCCAGGGTTCTCTTGGACCCTTTCCTTCTCTCTTCCCTGCTTCTTCAGTTTCTCACACTTTTATAATTAGCCTCACAGCAATCTCCCCACCGTTCCCTTCGGGCCTGCAGTTTGGCAGCAAAGCTAGACCACGAGCTGTTTTTATGAATGGAGAGAGGCCGGGGGTGGGTCCAGAGGAAACAGGCATCGACACAGACTATGGTGCTTAGAAAATAAGGTGTGGCTAAAAGGGCTTTGCAGCCGTGGCTGAGATGAATGGAGGAGGCTGGGAGGACACGAGCAGCCCTCCCTGGAGGGTCTGCTTCTTCCTCCGGTCCACTGGAGAGACTCGAATTTCCTCAGAAAGGTTTGAAAAGGCTATGCCAGTAACCCAATACTTCCCCTGTACCAGGTCAGGCAGGACAAGGACAGCAGTCTGGTGCCTGCGGAAAGGGTTGCCTGGCTGGCCCACCAAGCAAGGCCCTTCCCTAAATCTCCCAGTCTCTCACTCTGCAAGACACATCTGGCTCCAGGCCCACTGACCCCCTGGAAACCCTCACCCTTCCCAGCTTCTCTAGATGGGTTGTCAGCGCTGAAGGGAAGAAGGCCTGGCTGAGGAGACAGCAAGGCAGCAAAGGGTGTGCTGACAGGCAGGAAGGACCCTTTGCCCTTCATCAAGGTTGACAGGGAAATATTTGCTCCGGCATCCTGAGGTAAGCCCCACTAGGAGGAGGTCAGAGGTAGATTTACAGAAACACCTGGGAGTCATTTCTCTAGAACTTGTACTTCTCCATCCCCACCTCCCAATTTCCTGATCAAAATGAATCATGCAGCAAATGGGCAGCAGAGATAGGGACAGAGAAGCAACCGTTTCCAGTCTGGCTTTGAGCAGCTGAGTAGCAACGGTTGGAGCAAGGACAGATGGGCTTTCCGAGACAAGCTCGGGTGACAGGAAGCACCCTGGGGGGAACATCAGCCTTCCTCTGCTAAGAGCAGAATGGCAAAAATACCAGGACATACTGCAAGACAACCTTGATTCCACCCCCTCCCACTCCTTCCCCGCCAGACGGAAGCCAGGAAAGTCGTGGTCATCAGTTACCTGCTGAGATTGGGACCACACTGTTGATGAAAGTCGGCTGCGACGCGATGGAGCGGAAGAAGAGTTGGAGATAAATTCCCAGAGTCATTGGATTCAGAACAACCATGTTGGCCAAGTCTGGTAAATATCACAGTTAGAGGGCAAGGCTGCTGGGGGCCTCTCTTAGCTCAGCTTTGTCCTGACTGCGCTTGGCCTCTCTCTCTCTCTCTCTCTCTGCCTGCCTCCCTCCTTGCCTCCCTCCCTCTCTTCCTCCCTCCCTCTTCTTTCCCCATGCCTTTATCTAGAAAGAATGCCAACCATTTCCCATTAAACCTTCTCCGTACTACCCTCGGTTATATTTATCTCTGGGTCAAATGCCCACATTAAAATTAAGATGTCAGAATTCACTCTCTCTCTCTCTCTCTCTCTTTTTTTTTTTTTTTTTTTGAGTGGCTACTGAAGAGATGAGAAAGAGGGCAGCCAAGCCCCCAGAGCTTATCTGCGGCCATGCTTAAGGGCAGATGGGTTTCCTACTCCATTCCCCACCACCAGCGACACACTTGAAACATAGGTGTCCTGCCTTAGGGCTAACCAAGTCTCCTGGCACAAACTACTTTCCAGGAGGACAAGCTGCTGGCCTAGGGCAGTCTTACCCACCAGTAACAAATGCAAGCCGAGCTGGGACTTTGTGCTTGGGGAACTTGCATTTCCAAACAGCTGTCACTATGAAAAGATCCCCACCCCCACCCCCCAGAAACTGCCACCCTTCAACCTCATGCAGAGCAAAAGCACAGCCGATGAGAACTGTAACAGGACAGAAAAGTGAACCAACCATCCACTATCACACTGTACCTGGAGCAACAGCATCATCAACTTAATCTTGGTTAGACAAACCAACCTTCTTGAAACAGAAGTAATTGCAGGGGCTAGAGAGATGTCTCAGCAGCTAAGAGCATGTTCGTGAAAAAAGACTCAGAGTTTAGGTTCAGCACCTGCGCTATGAGCTCCCAACTGCCTGTGACTCTAACTCCAGGGTCTGATTGATGCCCCTGGTCTCCCAGGGTACCTGTACTCATGTGCACATACCCCGCCCCCATACACATAATTTAAAAAATAAACAAGATTAAAAAAAAAAACAACATAAATACATTACAGGTTTATAAAGACGTTCACAGTGATCTTTAGAGTTAAAACAATTCAGTACCAATCCATAGAGTTGTTCAATTTGCTTTATTTACGTAATACACTCGTTGTGAAGGTTTCTTCAGATGCAGTGAGCACTGACCCTCATCTTGGGCAAGACAGACCGTGGCTGGAGCGGAGTGTGATGCCACTCTACAGTTCAGAGCCATACTTAGCCTTGACTCAGCTCTAAGTGGCAGGAAACAAATTGTTTGACCGCCTGTATGCCTTAGCTGTGTCATCCAAGAGACAGAGGTCCCTTGATAGGGGTGTTCGAAAGGCTAAAGGAGGTAATGTGGGATGAATGCTATTCAAATTTAGAGACGGTACAAATGAAGTCCAAATAGGTGTGGTAGGAGAAATGCAAAGATGCCCACCCAAATACCTCACATCTCCACGTGTGCATGTCACTCAGGAACCAAAAAGGATGCAAAGATAGCCAACTGGTATAATTGATGACAAAAAGCCAGTGCAGTCAATGGCTGTCCTTTGGAGACCCACAGAAACATGCCTGCAAGCCTCCAGTATTCAAGGAATTCTTAGGAAATCTCCATTTTCCTGTGTATTTTATGAGCCTCTTTCTTATGATAGCCCACCTATCCAAGGAAGAAATGGTTTCTTCTTCAGACCCTCCCAGAAAGACTGACTTGCAGAATCTAGGGATCAAGGCTGTCCAAAGGAAGTCACCTGGCTTTAGAGAGAGGCTCACATGAATAAAGCCAGCCAGGGCTGCCTCTTAAGGGGTTTTAGGCGGGGATGTCAGCTGGAGGATAATCCCTGTTAAACACGGTGCCACCTTACTGAGAAACAGGGGGAGCAGCCAGCCACCCGGTGGGCTAGGTTCAAGAATATTCATTGTTCATGTGACTGAAAACATGGAGGCGGTGGTCCATGGAATGCAGTCATTAAAAAGAACATAGGACGGACTATGTCAATGGCAGACACTTGCCTAGCATGTATGAGGCCCTGGGCTTGAGCTCCCTGCACAGAACAAGTTCAAAAGTCTTTGTAACAAGTGGTGCTGGGAAAATGGAACTTCAACTTACAAAACGGAAATGAAGATTAACCCTTACCTTGCCCCACTTGTAAGAATTAGCTCAGGAGCCGGAGAAATGGCTCAGCATGTTCTTGCTGTGTGAAGCATGAGGACTATAGTGTGCCTCTTCCGCCCGTATGTAAAAGCCAGACAGGGTGGCACACACCTTAACCACACTGCCAGCAGTGGCGGGCCCCAGGCCAGCCCTGCCCGGCCAGCTTAGCTGAAGCCATGAGATCCAGGTTCAGTGAGAGGCTCTAGAAAAATGCAGATGGGAACCTAACTGAGAAAGACGTTCGGTGTCGACCTCTATCCTCCACACTCACTCACTCACACACGCACGCACCTGTGTGCGCCCTGCCGCCTCCACCAGGCACATGCACTCGCACACAAGGAACACACACAATAAATGAACAAATATAATAAAAACAATTAGTTCAAGCTGGACATTCCTATGATCACAGCTCTTGGGAGGCTGTGACAGGAGGGTCACAGCAAGACTTATCTTAAAATATCAATTCAAAATAAACCATAGACCAAAATATAGACGCTAAAGCCATTGACGGTGTAAATCTTATTCAATTACTTTCCTAGTTGCTGTGACAAATACCTGACAAAATCAGCTTCAGGAAGGTTTTTTTTCTGGCTCACAGTTTGCGGGCACAATTCACATTGGCAAAGGCACACAGCAGGAGTGTGAGGCAGCTGGTCACAAGACATCAGTGGTCACATGACACCAGCTGGTCACATGACACCAGCTGGTGGACCGTACACTATCAACCAAGTTGGGTCTTCCCTCCTCAGTTAAACCTCTCTGGAATTACTCACAGACTCGCTCAGAGGTGTAGCTTTTAGTTGATTCTAAATCCCATCAAATTAACAGTTAAGATCAACCAGCCACGCCAAGACATTGAATTCTGATGTCAGAAGCATAAGTCATACATAACCACAGACAAAAGACATGTTTCAGCCATGAGATGGCTAAGTGGGTAAGGTCTCTCGCCAGCCAGCCTGACGACCTGAGGCTGACTCCCAGGACCCACAGGTTGTTCTCTTACCACACTCACGCGGGCACATACACTCACACACGTGGACATACTCACACGTGCACACAGACTCAAATGCACATACACTCACACGCGTACACACATACATGCATACACACACACACACACACACACACACACACACACACGCATACAAAATAAATAGACAAACGCGTAAGTATTTTTCCGAAGGCAGCTCAGCCCTGCGTCCTGGTGTGAAAGGCTGACAGCAGACTGCTGTGGACTGTCACAGGAATGCAGTGGGGCATCTTACTCTCCTCTCCCTGCCGCACGTTCTTCTCATCCGTCCGCCAACTTCTGAGCAGTCAGGTAAACCTCAGTATTTATATATGCAAATAGAAAATCCACAGTGTCTGGATCGTGCTGGAGACTTTCTTATTTAATCTTCTTAAATGTCATGTAAATTTTTACAATTTTTTGTCTGTTTTTCGACACAGGGTTTCTCTGTGTAGCCTTTGCTGTCCTGGAACTCACAGAGATCAACCTGCCTCTGCCTCTCAAGTGCTGGGATTCAAAGGTGTACATCACCAGGCATTTTTTTTCTTTTAGATTTATTTTATTGTGTGAGGGTGAGTGTTTTGCCTGAATGTGTGTCTGTGTGCCACTTACATGCCTGGTGCCAAAGGAAGTAGAGAGCTTTTATGATGGCACTGGGAATCAAACCCAGGTCCTTTGCAAGAAAACCAAGTGCTCGTAACCACAAAATTTTAACTTTCATTTTAAACAATGCAAGGATTAAATTCTATACAACTTAGAAGTAATGAAGAAAAATAAATGGCATTTCTCCTGTATGTTCCAAGTCCAAATCCTTTGCCCACATGTCATAGGGACAGACAGCATTATTGATTGTTCTGGCAAATAAACATAGCTCTGAGGCTGGTCTTTCTGGCCCAGAATTAATAGTGGTTCAATTCCTCAGAGGTCCCAGTCACCTCTGTCAGTGCATCAGCAGGAGAGAGAGAGAGAGAGAGAGAGAGAGAGAGAGAGAGAGAGAGAATAGAGCAGCTCCGGTCCATCTGGTAATATACTCCCATTAGTCTGTCTGGACTGCAAGGGGCAGACTATGACAGACAGACAGGGCAGCTTTCCAGGAACAGGTCTCTCTTAGAGGTCTGGAGGTAGGATGTTGAAGGCCCAGGCAAGGGCAGATACAGCTGGTTTCCTGGGTCATGAATGTTTGTCTTCTTGCTGTTGGAGGAAAGTCCAACCGTGTTTTCAAATGCTGATTTCAACACCTTAAGATCTGGTTACCACCCTGCTATGGGTATCATTATAATGTTGAACCATGTAATGGTGATGATAAGGAATGTTCCCCAATTATTCCTGATTGACCGAATAAATGCCTACAAATCTGGGCAGGGCAGAGTAGGTAGGTGTGGCCAAAGTTCTCCGGCTTTGAGGAGAGGAGGCTCTTGGGAAGGAGACAGGTACCGGAAGAGGAAGGAGGCAGAGCCACCGTGGGTTAGAGTTGAGAGAAGCACATGGCTGGATCGGCATGGAGGGAGGAAGCGACCCAGATGAGACAAGAAGCAAGCCTTTATGGGTGGGAGGTAGTCCAGGTAGAAATTATTAGAACAATTGGCCTGGGATGGGGGCTTGGGAGGCAAAGATTGCTTACGAGGTAACATATGCCTTGCCCTGGGTAAGAGAACACTATTCTAAAATCTATCAGTGTCTGTGTCTTTTATTGATTATAATATCGGGTTAGATAATACCGCTTAGTAATTATAGGGCTAATGATAAACATTATAATAGACCATACTTTCAAACTGGCAACATCTTGCTGTGTTCCCAATGAGCAGGAGTCGGGGCTCTCCCCAAGACTCTATCTTAAACTGGTCATCACGCTGGTCCCGTTTGTGATGGCTCAATCCTTACTGCTAATCATCAGCCCAAGGTTCCCATCTCCGAACATGGTCACCTTGGGTGTCAGTTTCCATATCTGAATTTGAAGGGGACAGAAATCTTCAGTCTATAGCAGTAGTTAAATATGTTTTAACTATTTGTTAAACTATGTTTTAACTACATGTTAACTATATGTTTTAACTACCTCTTTGAGCAGAAGTCCCAGCAGCAGGAGTAGAGCACTAAGTTGTGTAGAGAGGGAGTCCCACTAGACTTTTCAGCAAATATTTCACAAGAATTTTTTCAGAACAGAGAATACAATGGCATATTTAGATACTAGAACCAAACCAAACCAAATCCACTAGAAATACCACACCCAGTAAAACTATCTCCAGATCTGGAAGATAAACAGAGAAGAAATTGAGGCATTTTGTCACAACCAGAATAGCCTTCAGGGGAAATGCTTACAGGGCTCCTGCTGCAGAGCAGAAATTCAGGACCTGAGAATCACTCAGTGGGTTCAGGTCAAGCTCTTGTATGTGTGAGCTCCAGTCTTGTGGTTCCGGTTCTCCTAAGGCAAGGCATGGGAGCAGACTGGAGGTCCTCTGATGTGGGGAGGGCGGGCAGAGCTAGCCTGCACACAGAAGCCAGGGTTTCACTGCCTGAACAGGGTGAAGGGAGAACACTGACTCCCAAATGCTGCCCCTGCCCTCCACATGCTCCTTCTCCACAGCACCAAATTCTTCTTATAAAGTTAATCATTAGAGACAAAAGTATAAGCCAGGCATGGTGGTGCACACCTTTTATCCCAGCATTCTGGAGGCAGAGGCAGGCAGAGCTCCAAGTTTGAGGCAAGCCTGGTCTACAGAGGGAGTTCCAGGACAGCCAGGGCTACACAGAGCGACCCTGTCTCAAAAAAACAAAACAAAAAAGGAAAGAAAAATAAAAGTATAATAACAGTATTTATTTTAAAATGATGACACAAACACAACAGATATTATATGAAAGAGATTGATTGGACAGAGGTGGAGAGATAGAGAAGAAAAGGAAAAAAAGAGGCATGGTGGGGGCCCCAGGAAAGAAAGGGAGGCAGAGAGAGCAAGAGAGGAGAGGGAGAGAGGAAGATGAGAGAGGGACAAAGTGGAGGGTTGGTCCTTTTATAGCTTGTGCATGCACAGCTGAACCACACCTGCCACACACACCTGGTGGATGACACATGATGACATCATAGGTTACTAGGCAACCCAGAAGCTGGCTGCCTATATGCTAACAATAACTACCATAATGAACAGTGCACAAGCACACACACATATACTTTACTAGATGAACTAACACACAAAATATAAAGTGAAGAGAAAATATGTAATAAGAAAATAAGAGAAAAAAAAAAACAACAATAAAAATACAAGGCTGGGCATAGCAGCACATACCTTTAGTACCAGCACTTGGGAGGCAGAGGCAAGTGGATCTCTGAGTTCCAGGCCAGCTAGGGCTACGTACTGAGACCCTATCTAAAAATTAATTTTAAAAAATTAGAACTAAAAGTACCAAAAACATTGAAATGGAAAGAACTCTGCCAAACTTCCTTTATGCACTACTTTGGCAGTACTCACACTAAAACACACACAAACTATAGATCAATATTTTTTATGAACACAGACACAAAACTTCTTAATAAAACGGTAGCAAGCTGAATGCAATAATAGCACATCAAAAAGATCATACTCCAAGTCCGATTAGAAGGAAAATAACACACACACACACACACACACACACACACACACACGCACGCACGCACACACACAGCCAATATCAGAAAGCTGAAAGCATTTCTTCTAAGATCTAGAATATGGCAAGGATAGCCACTCTCACTGCTCTTATTTAATAAAGTATTGGAAATTTTAACAAGAGCAATTAATCAAGAGAAACACATGGCATCCAAATTGGAAAGGAAGAAGTTTAATTATCCATGTTTGCAGATGACATGATTCTATCCATAGAAAGAACCAAGTACACAATTAAAAAAAACAAACAGTGGTCTTAAAAGCATTTTTAGATATTTAGCAACACCAGAGGTTATAATGGCAACATATAAAAACAGTAATAGTTTATGTACAAATAATGAACCCTATACAGAGAAATTCAATAATTCTCATTTGCAATATCCATGTAAAAGTTTATGAATAAACTTACCAAGGAAATTTAAAAATTCTACAATGAAAATTACAAAACACTGATGGAAAAAAGTATAGCGAGCATGCCCAGAAGAAATGGAACAATATGCTCTAGTTTGCAAATAGGAAAAATCAGTACTATGAAAATCACCATACTATAGGTATAATCTATAGTTACAATGCAATTCTCATCAACATACCAACAACTTTCTTCACAGAAATGCAAAACAATTCCTGGTTAATTTGGAACCATTAAAAAAAATGAATAGCCAACATAATTTTAAGCAGAGCCAAAAATAAAGGAGGAAGGGAGGAAAAAAAAAAAACTAGAGACAAAGGGCTACGGTGATAGCTCAGTGGCAGGGCACTGCTCAGCATGCCTGAGGTCCTAGGCTTAGTCCCTAGCACTGTCAGAAAAGCAAACAAACAAGAAACCACTGTCTTGCTGGGCCTTGGTGGCACACACCTTTAATCCCAGTGTTTGGGAGGGAGAGGCAGGCAGATCTCTCAGTTTGAGGCCAGCCTGGTCTACAGAGGGAGTTCTAGGACAGCCAGGGCTACGCAGAGAAACCCTGTCTCAAAAAAAGAAAAGAAAAGAAAGGAAAGAAAAAAGGAAAAAAGAAACCACTGTCTTGAGAACTTGGATGTGTCACAATATCTAATTTCAAAATATAATGCAAAGCTATAATAACCAAGCCAGCATGATAATAGTATAAACACACACACACAGGACAATGAAACAGAATAGAGGACCAGAGAATAATCCTCATCCACACAGATGGCTTATCTTTCCCAAAGGCACCAAGAACATCTAAGAAAAGACAGTCACGTCGTGGAATGGTGCTGGCAAAACTGCACCTTCGGAAGTTGAAACTAGATTTTGTCCTCTAGTGATAGGACACAGGGATCAGCCACAAATGGCTCACAGGCCTAATCTTAAACCTGAAACCAAACTTACTGTAAGGAAACATAAGGGGAACACACATGGGTGAGCCCACCCTGAGACCCGCAGTCTGCATGCACCCCTAGATAAATGGCGACCACCACCAAATCAAACTTGCTTACAACGTTATGAGACGTTTGTGTGTTTTGTTTTTGTAAATCGATTGGGCAGGTCTTGAATATGAACTTGCTAGATGACAATGTCATGTTGCAATGTCAAAAGGCTGCATGAGGCCAGCTGTAGGCAATGATAATTTAGGTAGGACCAGAGGTACAGTTAATGGGATTATGTCAGACTATGTCATATACAAGAAGCTCCTGCACAGCAAAGGAAATCGTCAGCTGAGCCAAGAGACGACCTACAAAATTGGAGAGTATATTTGAAAATTATTCATCTTATAAGAGATGATGGCCAGAATTCATGAAGAACTCAAAAGATGGATGCCAAAAAAAAAATCAAAATTAGGCTAAAAACTAGGTACATCTCAAAAGAAGGCATATGAAAAGGTCTAGCAAGTACATGAAGGAAACGCCCAGTTTTGTAATCATCAGAGGAATGCGATTCAGAACCACAGTGAGATATGCTGTCCCCTCAGCTGCCTCCATCTTCATGAGATAAGCTACATCTACCTTCTGTGGCCCATCACAATGGGTCTGGGGGCTCTCCTCCCAGCCATTGGGGTGCAGGTTTACACAGGGTCCCAGGACTTGCACGTTGGGGAGGATTAGGGGGCTTTGGGAGGACAAGGCGACGCTGGGTGAAGACCTCATGCTGCAGCTGTTTTGGGGTTACTGTGCTCCTCATCCATGCTCTGTAAGGAAGTCCAAAAAATGGTGTTAGGATCTTATTTCACTTTTCTTTAGGACCTTGTGGGGAGGGGCAAGCATTGCTCATCACTAGGGAAGGAAGTGTAGCCACAGATATTCTCTCTCCCATACTGAAGGGCCATTGCCGGGGCCTGGGGAGAGAGCTTAGTTGGGAAAGTGCTTGTAGCACAAGCAGGATCCAAGTTTGATTTCCAACACTTGCATAAGAAGCCAGGCACAGTGGCACGTGTGTGTGATCACAGCACTGGTCAGGAGGGGTCACTGGCTCCCCAGGCAGAACAGCCTAATCAGCTGGCCGCAGGTCCCAGTGGGAGACTTACCTCAGGAACCAACATGTAGAGCTGGGTGGACTCAGCGAGGGAAGTTCTCACTCTGCAGTCATGGAGACATGAGTGAGATCCCCCAAGCCCACATAAAGATGGGCAGTGCAGCCCTAACAGCACCGCTCCCCTCCGCTCCTGGGGATGGAGAATGGAAGATCTCTGGGAGTTTGCTTACTAGCCGGTCTAGCCAAATGACAAACTCCGAGTTCAGTGAAGAGACCGTCTCAAAAACCATGGTGGACTTCCATAGGGGAAAACACCCAAAGTTGTTCTCTGGCCCCTGTGTACACTTGTGTGTATGAGTGCACACACATATGTGTACCACATACACACAGGCTGCTAGCATAAAAAAAAAAGACAGAATACTAGTAATAGCGAGACTTGGGAGATAAAATTATAGCCTTCTAGCCAAGGCTGGTGCACGTGCCTTAAATCCCAGCAGAGGCAGATGGATCTCTATGAGTTGGAGGCCAGCCTGGTCTACAAGGAAACTTTCAGGACAGCCAGGGCTATGCAGAAAAACCCTGTCTCAAAAAAATCCAAAAAAAAGTATAACCTTCTATAACTTACATGAATAATTCATATGTGTGTGTGTGTGTTTGTGTGTACATGTGTATGCACAGGACGTATTTGAATGCTATAAAAAAGAACGATACCCTATTATAACACCACAATGCTCAATTATGCCATTGAAATTCTCTATCATGGCATCACAAATGTGAATTGTGATGGGCAGATGCTCCACTGTACCATCACTGCATTAAATTATGACACCACAATTCACCTTTCTGCTGTCACAGTGTTGCACTGTGTTATCAAAGGGCTCCACTTTGCCATGACAGGTAGCATTGTGATGTCATAATGCTCCCTTTGCCATCACTGTCCCACTGTGTCGGCACAATGAGTACCATGATGCCTCAATTGTGACACCCTATACATTGTGATGGCCAAATGGTGCATTGTAACATTACAAAGGAACATTCTGATATTCATGGCCAAATGGGGTACTGTGGTGTCACAACAGAACACTGATTGAACACTACAGCATTATCATGGCTCAGTAGTGTTGGGTTTGGTCTGGTGCTGTACACTCAATTGCTAAATTACTGGCCCCTAAGACCTGGTTGCAGTTGAGAGTACATCCTTATATAAACCAGTCTTTGTTGCGTACACTTTGCTCTACCTAACTTAAAGTTAATTGGTTGATAAAGATGCTGAAGCCTATAACTGGGCAGAAGAGAAGTAGGAGGAGCTTAGGTTCTCAGACTTGGCGTGGGGCTGGGGGGCAGATGAGGACCACAAGACAAGAAGGGAGACAGAGGTAGATGAGGAAGCTGGAGAGAAGGAAGTCGCCATGGGGCAGTATGGACCATGAGCACATGGCCATGGGGGCTGGGCTGATGGAACAGAAGCAGCCCAGGCAGGAACAGCTATGGCAAGTAACTTAGAGTGGGTAGCTGGGAAGTAGCAAAATAGCTTAGAGGGTTGATATCTGCCCAGTTATGGTGCCTTGATGCTTTTGTTAATCTAAAAGGTCTCTGTCTTGATTATTTGGAAACTAGCTGGGGTAGAGAAGCCCTCTAGAGTCTAATATCCCTTCCACTACACAATAGAGGATTATATTAATGTCACAATAAGGCATTTGGTAGTCATAATGGAACATCACAAAGGTGCAACCTGGCCAATGGTACATTGTAAAGACATAATTCAGCACTGGGATGAAACAATGGAACATTCTGATGGCAGAGAAGAGAGGATAGTGATGTGATACCACAATTCACATTCTGATGACACAATGGTGAATTCTGACATCACAATTCAATATAGTGATGGAACAATGGAACACTGAATCATTGCAATTTACACTTGTCAGATCACAATGGATAGTGTGATGTCATAATTGCATATTTTAATGTCACAGTGGGACACAGTGGAGCATTCTGGTATCACCATGGGGCCGGACAAAATGGAGAATATTGATGTCACATTCACACTATGATAGAAAACAGTGCAGCAAATGTATCCCCCAAGGGCAGGATGGTATGTATACTGCCTTATCTTCTCTGAGATCATCCTCACGGAGGGAAGAAATAGGGAGAGGAAAGGAGCTAAGTTTCATAAATTGCTGGGACAAAAATACTGGAGAAAAACAATTTAGGAAAGAAGAATTTATTTGGTTCATGATTTCAAGTTTCAACCCTTAGTTGGATGGGATGTGAAGCAGAATGTGAAGGCAGCAGGCGCTGTGGTACCCTGTTTACCTGATGATGGCAAAGGAAAAAGGAAAGGGAAGGACAGAGAGAGGAAGAGGAGGGAGAGAGAAAAAGAGAGATCTTTCAAGTCCATATTCATTTTTTTTTCAGCTAGGTCCCATCTCCTAGGTTCTACCACCTTCCAATAAAACTATCAAATTATGAATCCACCAATGCCTTAACCCACAAAACCAGAGCCATCTGATCTGATCACTTCCCTAAAGGCTCACCCCTGAGCACTGCATTGGAAACCAAGCCTTGGACATATGGGCCTTTTTGGAGGGCACTTCATTGTCAGTCATAACACTAAGATAGTCTAAGCATTTAAAAGTGACTTGAGTTTTGGCTTAGGTGTAGAGTACTGGCTGCTCTTCCAGAGAATCTATGTTCCCAGTACACACATGTTGGCTCACAACCATCCGTTATTCCAGTTCCAAGGGATCCAATGCCCTTGTATTAGTCAGGGTTCTCTAAAGGATACGAACTGATAGAATGAACATACACACACACAAAAAAAAAATATATATATATATATAGTTAAATATTGAAATATATTATATACTTAATATATTTAATATATAAATCATATATATATAATCACATATATATATATATGTGGGATTTATTAGAGTGACTTACAATCTGTGGTCCAATCAGTCAGACAATGGACATCTCCCGACAGAAAGGCCAAGAACATGTTGGTTGTTCAGTCCACAGGACTGGATGCCTCTGCGGTTCCAGTCTAGTGCTGGAGTCCCAGGGAAGTCTTAGAGAACTGCTGCTGGTCTTCAGCTTGTTGGAATCCCAAGGAAGTGGGTCCTAACCCAGAATAGGAATGTCTCAGTGACAGGGTAGATGCACTTTCCAGGAAGAGTGAGGGCAAGCAGGCAAAATGGCTTCTGTCTTAGTTTTCTGTTGCTGTGATAAAACACCATGACTGAGCAACATATGAAAGAAAGCTTTTAATTTGGCTCATGTTTCAGAGGGCTGGAGTCCTTGATGGTGTAGAGAAGGAACAGTTGAGAGTTCACGTCTTAATCCACAACTGGAAGGCAGAGAGAGAGAGAACATTGGGAATCACATGAGTCTTTTGAAACCTTAAAAGCCCACCCCCAGTAACACACCTCCTCCAACAAGGCCACACCTCCTAATCCTTCCCCAGTAGTTCTACCAACTGGAACCAAGCATTCAAATATATGGGCCAATGAGGGCCTCCCCGAGAATCAGCCACACATATGCATAAAGGCAAAACTCCCATATACATAAAGCAAGATGGAAGTGAGCCATGCTTTCTTCAAGGTCATTGTGTCCCGTGATTAGAAGCGGAAGCTTTGAAACTACCTTCCGCTTGTTTTTTTTCCTCGTTTTTATTTATTATTTATTATCTTCCACTTGTTTTTAAACTGTGGTGGACACTGGATACTTGGGGGTGGGGGTTAACCAGTGTGGCTATGTGGGTCCCACCTGACAGATTCCAATATGATCAAGATTATCTGAACCCCCCCGGGTTGGTTTCAGTGCTAACGTGGGCTGCAGACTCCACTCCTCACACATGAAAGGACACAGCCCCACACTAGCAAATGGCTTGCCAAACATCCATTCATCGACTGCAGCCAATTTTCTCTGATGTGCCCTAATAGGAAGGAGCTGTGGCATGGATAATAGCAACCAACAAATAATTTAAAACTAATTTCTACTTGGTTTGGGAATGCAGCATGTGACTTCCTGGCTGCCGACTGGCCTGGCTAATTCAGTTTGGCTCAGATGAATGGGCCTTTACTGAGCTAACAATACAGCTGAGCCTTATGCTGAGGTGTGGAAGGAAGCCTGCCAAATGAAATGTGGCCTCCCCAGACTGTCAGACACACAATCACCATATGTTGTGGGGACTTTGCTTACCAAAAGGTTCCACAATGAGCCAAAGATGAACTTCTCCTGACCCTTTACTCTGTGGGTTGGGGTCCAGCATGTGAACAGAGGTCGGAGGGTGTGTATGTGTGTGTGTGCGCACGCTTCATTTGCTGCTAAGCATTTTTGTGAGCGGTATATACACCATACAACTCTACATTCAGTTTCCTTATTACCTTCCCTAGAGAGAAGAGGAAGCTGAGGTTCAGAGAGGTTGAAGCAGAGCCAGGATGGACAGGCTCATTATAGCAAAGTCTTTCCCCCCCTGAGATACCATCTGGTTTAAATGGACAGGGGCAGACAGATTTGGGTCTGACCCTTGAATCTGTCTTGCCAAATGAGCTCTGCCTCCCAGGTTTTCCTCTCAGTGTAAAGTCAGTGGCAAGCAGACCTCACGAATATGCTGGGGGCAGCCAAGAGACTCCTTCCAACCATGGAGGCACCACTGAAGCAAGAGCCCCAACTGCCACTCAGAAATTGGCCATGAATGTTTTTACTGAGGTCTTCCAGGGATTGTATTATTTCCCCACCAATGAGTCCAGTAAGGTGGCCCCATTCCTGAGACACATGTGGACTTCTCTGGGAGAAGCTGTGTTCCATCTTCTTGGCTTGCTGAAGCATGGATGCCTCCTCTCTTCCTTTTCCCTGGGATCTAATCTAAACCATCATCTTATGGTTCAGGACTTTTCAAAAGTTCCTCTGCATTATCACTGGCCTCTCAAGAGGATGGGTAGAGTCTCATTCCCAAGAAGAGCTAAAGACGCCTTCCCTATTGCCTACGGATGCACCATTGCCTTAGTTTAACAGCCCCAATCTCTTCAACGGCCACGCTTTCGACCCTAATATCACATGGGCTTCTCTTCTGGGAAAACTGTCTAACTTTTCAGCTACCTCTTTTGCTCTTGTCTTATTATAAACTTGGCTAAAAGCCTCCAGCAATAATTAAGCAACAGCCTCGATTCTGGGAATTTCCTGTTTAACTAGTTTATTTTAAAAAATAATTCAGCCTCAAAATCTGGAGCATGGACATTTTTTTCTTAACTAGAATTTCACATGAGAAGCCTCTACTTGAATTCCCAAGAGGGTCCTTATGAGCACTCTCCTGTTCATGTTTTCATCAGCATTCTAGTCTCCTGACTGAAGTGAGACATCACTTTTTGGATCAGCATTGCTGCGCTCATCTTCGTGCTTCAACCCTTGACTTTGCAGAGAGAGAAAGACACGTTCCAGAGAACTTCTTGGGGCAATGCACCTTAGTCTTGAGGCTTTGGATGACTTCTGCCGATTCATGTTGCTTCTTGGTATTGGCCTTTGGACTGGACTGCTGGTATCCTGACCACTGAGTTTGGTAATCCCCATCAACTCTTATTAGCAGGAAGTAGATAAAAGAGGTCTACAGCCCTTTTCTCTACTAATCTCCTCTCTAACATTGGGAGGGTAGCGGGTAGGGATGGGATGGGTTGGAAGGGAGGTAAAGGTGTTTAAGAACCGTAAGTAAAGTAGGTTTGGTGAAAAATCTAAGCCCACACCTGATCTCCGACCAGGGCCCCGTTGTAGCCTTTTAAACCTCTTCTGGATGCTTCTCCACATTTATTATTCAAACCAGTTAAAAAAACAAAACATAGAAACCACATGGTCAGGAGGTTACAGCAATGGACTCATTTCTCACAATCAATTTTCTGAGTTAGTCTTTTGTCACTGTGACCAACAACTTAGAGGAGGAAAGTTTTTGGTTCATGGTTTCAGTCCATGGCTGGTTGTCGCCACTGCTTTCAGGCCCACTGTAGGACAGAAACATCATGGAGGAAGGATGTGGTCAGGGAAAGCAGCTCACCTCATGGCATCAGGGAACAGAACAGAGAAGATACCCACCCATGCCAACAGACTCTCCTCTTTCACTTAAACTCCTAAGGGATTTCAAAATTGCGTTTATTTGTGTGTGCACACACAGCGTGCATGCTACAGTGTGTGTGTGGTCAGAGGGCAACCTGAAGGAGTTAGTTGTCTCCTCCAGCCTGGGTCTGAGGGATCAGACGGAAGTCATCCGTGTGGTAGAAGTGCCTCTACACGCTGAGCCATTGCTCTTTATTCATCCCAGCCTGTCAGAGACACGGTTTCTCCGTGTAGCCTTGGCTGTCCTGGACTTGCTTTGTAGCCCAGGCTGGCCTCAAACTCACAGAGATCCACCTGCTTCTGCCTCTCTGAGTGCTGGGATTACCGGCTTTTCTCCCCTTCTTTAATTCTCTGAAAATTATCACTCACACACATAACAAAAATGTTTGTTTGTTTGTTTGTACTAAACATTTACTCATTTTTTGCTAAACATGTCTTAGTCATCCTTCACTCCAATGAGGTTGACAAAGTTGATCATCACAGTTAACATGTAAAAACAACTGAGTACAAATAATCACAGAAGACCGTGAGAGAGGAACACGGGGTGGCAGGGTAAGGCAGGTGGAGGAGAGGATTTGGAGCGTGGAGGCAGGTATGTTGTGATGGGCTATTTTTTTTTTTTTTTTATAAATGTCACAGGTATAAAATCTAGGCTACAGCCCTCAAGTGTGAAAGAAATATTATTGTCAGCACCTGGACATAAAACTTCAACTCTCTTTTGCCAAGATAGAAATGTAAACTTCAATTGATTTGGGGCCTCACCTGCCCCAGCCTCTGGCCCTAGCACTGTTGGGTTACTTAATACCCAGGCATGAGGGTGGGCTTCTGGTCCTTTGGTGGGTGCTGTAAGTCCTCCAGAGTCTCTTCCTTCCCAGGACAGCCATACTCTACTGCTGTTTGCCAGGTGTAAGCTGGAGGAGTCACCACGGAGCTGACCAAACAGGAGCGAGAGGGTGCAGGTCTAGACGATAAGGGAGGTGTCCTGGGTCACAGGCACCACACACAGGGGCGGGGGAGTTAACCTTCCAGGAGTATTGTAGGTTTCAGATGCACAGAGCGCAGCAGGGGCACTGGGGGAGGAGGCTTCAGAACTGTGGGGTAAAAACAAGCGGTGGCGTACAACACGCTGCAGCAAGAAGAGCAGGGGCAAAGCTGAGCTGGGGTGAGACCACACCTGGCTTCCTGGCTCGCCCTTGACCGGGAGTGGGAGGCTGTCATCAGGAACATTCGGGGATCAAGAGAACAAGCCTCAGGAGAAAAAAACACATGACCGGAGCTTAACCACACCACAGAGCTCGCTCCAGTGACCATAGGGAAGAAATGATGGCTCTTGCCACCTCCGCAGCATAGCTGTCTCTATGCTAAGGGTCAAACTCGTGCGCAGTCCTTTTGCGCTGGGGAGCTGGCATTTCTACGTGCTCCCTTCTTTGCCCCCTAACTGGAGGGTCAGTGCACCATCTGAATTTGCGGTGCATTCGTCGACCCTTTCCCCCTTCCTGGACAGAAAGGCCTTGAGGGGCAGGGAAGATGGAAGATTGTTCTGTGGAGTCCTCTGAATCCACGGTGGTCTCTTGCTGCTCCTCCTCCAGGTGGAGCCTGGAGGCCAGCAGTTGCTCTCTTCCACATCACTCATTTTAGCTTAGCAGCAGCAAACAGCACAAGCAACAACGAGGCGGCTCAGCCTTCACTGGCTTGCACTCAGCTCGCCACAACCGTCAGGACAGGTTTCTCAGGCTTTCTGCCAATCCCTCCGCTGGAATTTAACTAGTTTCTAGACTTCTTAATACATCGCTTCCTACAACAATACTCTCTTTGGTCTAAGTCTGCATTTATCTCAGGCCTTCATGGCAGTGCAGTATTTCCCCACTGTCCCTCTTTAAAATCACCCAGCAAAATCACCTCCCAGGAGGTGGAGGCAAAGGGATTCTGAGTTTGAAGCCGGCCAGGGCTGAGTTCCAGGCCAGCTTGGCAAATGGCAAGGTCTTGCCAAAGGAGGGGTGAACGGGGGTAGCAGGGGAGGTTATCATTTTCACGTCTGATTTCTTTTTCCTTTGGTGTTCCAAGTGCTTTCCTTGTAATGGACTCTTCCCTAAAAGGGGTGTGTTGGGGGGAACTGTTTTTACTATGAGTTTTCGAACAGCTCTTATTTAGCGACCCCCTGAAGACATGGTGGCCCATTTTCCTGTAAGTACCCACTGTATCTGGGAGGGAGAACCACCTACCTCAAAAGAAAAGCACTGTGGC